ACAGTCCAATGTGCCATAACTGATGCCTCACCATAAAAAATGGGATTTAATCCTTGTGCTTGAGGTACAGAATAAATTATTCCATTTTAAAGAGCACAGGCTTCTGCAAATGCATTAATGACCACTAAAATGAATGCAGCAAACCAGTAGGATGAGGCAAACAAGACTTATCATGGCCAGACATCACAATGTTAACAAAGGAATGAGGAATGCTAGTTGAAACCCCATGGCCAAATTTCAAACAAGTATTGGACAAGCATAGGGAGGGGATTTACCTGGCAGAACATACGACAACCCTCATGGACAACCTAGGTTTGGGTGTGTGTGTAACTGTCTAAAGTAAATATAGGGGGCAAGTAATGTTTACAAGTGCAACAAACATTTTGACCTCTGGGAGCACCGAATTTAAAGAGTAGGGTATAGCCCCATAAAGGTCCATTAATCATGTGGATACAGTAGCATGAAAGGTCAGGAGAACTATTTTATCTGCACTTGCATTCACTTGGATAATTTTGGTGACCTTTACCGGACCTCATCGACATGAAGAGAGGCTGTCAACCTGTACTAGAAACGGGACCTCAAAACACATGCCAGAAAATCAGGAACATAAGATAACACTCGAGATAAGACAATCACGTGAAAATGCTCCTGGAAATCCTCAGCTATTGCATGCTCATCATTATAACTTGGATAAAAACTAGTTAATCCAAGAAGGTAGACCAAACATCAATGAAAGTGGGAGCAAGCATGGCACTAGGACAAACAAGAGACTGCATCATCTGGAGGTAATGAGGTACACAGCAGTGGTATGGCTATCGTTAAGAAATTTCTGAAGAAACAAGAGCTGGTCAGAGAAAGGGGTGTGAGAACCTTGATCCCTGGAATCACCGCAAGGTAAAGATGGTCATACAACTCTCTCTCTCCTTCCATCTAAACTGTACTCATACTGGACTTCCTAAGGAAATCTCACTATGTAAACCTATCTTTCAGCATATCTTTTCTCCAGCCTTGACAAGGTGTAGTCAAACATTAACATTGTATCTGGCTACAAATGGCAGCAAATTGTAATCCTCTATTTACAGTACTTTGATCTAGTAAAGTATATGGTCTTGCATTACCACGTCAACCCCTCCACTCTCCTTTATTGTCTGGAATATATGCTGCTTCAAAAGTACTGTAATCTGTGATGTTCACTGATTTTGATCTTCATGCATCCTTCCCTCCAAGGGACTATTACCCAGTCAATTTACTTCCACTATGCCATACAGCACTATGAGCTTAGTCCTTTATATACAGGTTACCTTGCGATGGTTTCAGAGTTCAACGTCCCCGCAGCCCGGTCCTCGACAGGTCACCTCTTCTGCTCTGACTGTCAGGGTATGTCCATTGCTCTTATACTTCTCCTTGGTAATAGGGAGCTAGTGATGGGGATGCAAGGAAGAGAGGATGATGGGAATGGCAAAAAAAAAAAAAAAAAAAAAAAGGGGGGGGGGGCGGGGAGTTGGGGGGGTCATAGGACCAAAGGGTTCGATTCTAGGTCATTTACACAAGGAACTTTAATATTGGCTAAAATTTGAATGCAAGACTGATAACTACGGCAATGTTTCAAGATCTTCGGAGCTGTTTTTCTCAAGATTCTGTGATGTATTGAAAAGGGTACAGTGATTCCAGGATACTAAGAATGAGTGAGTTCAGGTCAGTAGAATGAGCATCAACTGCTGTAAAGGGCTTGGAGGCAGTGTAGATGTTAAGAGTTGTGTGGTGGTTGCAATGGTAATGTTAAGGATAAGAAAGAAGATTCAGAGATGAACGGTAGGACAGATGGACTTATTAGATAACTATGTACACATCTTTGCGAGGGTTACGGTAGGTGGAGGGCATGCCAATAATGTACAGCAACAATATATAATATGCATCTAATAATCTTATAAAATGGCATTTAGTAAGTCAACCTGGACCAAGTTGAAAATTGTATAATTATGCAACAGTAAGAAAATTCGTCCAACAATTTGGAAGAAAACCTTAGACAAAATTATAAGATAATAATCTGATGTAGAAAACTTTTCTAAATCATTAATCATGAAAATTTACATGGAATATGGGATGGATAAGAAAATGCATTCAAAAACTCACAACAGAACATCTACTGTGTGTGACATTAAAGAATAACACTCAGTTTTAAGTGCAAATCTTCCTAAGCTACAGCTGATTGGAACCTAACACTGCTTGGAGTATCACCTGCCACCAATGAATGCATATGGAACTTACTACACACTATGCACTGATATTCATAGTATTCTCCAAATATTACATGGCAATGAAATTTTTGTTTACAAAACCATTAAAAGATCCTTACGAAACAATAAGGCATCCGTGCTGCAAAAACTTAATTAAAAAGGCAAAATAAGAAGAAACCCAATGAAAAATGACCAATGTTTAATTTAGGTATAACAGACTGATAGAAAATCATACAGCAAAACCTTGTCATTCAAAGACCTTCATTTGCTGGTTACATTTTATATCAAATATCAAAATGGCATCTAAGCACCAAAAAAATAGTTAAATCATTAAGTTTCAGACCACTTTGGGTAATTAAAGGAAAATAACCAATACTACTTTAGTTTTCCCAAAATCCTACAAATAAACATTAAGAAGGTAGTCATAAAATTTCAGGAACTGATATCAATATTAGTGACAGATTCAGGTGTGGAAGGAAAGGTAGATGCAAAAAGGTATCTGATAAATGGGCCCCTGTTCTAGTCAGGATATTGCCAGGCTTCAGGTCAAGAGGTCGAGTCAAAGACCTTTTCCTTAGAGAAGGAAAAATGAATCTGGTATCGTCTGGCCTTAAGATGGGGGTGCAGAGCAGAATTCGTGCCTCTTTATGTAGTTGATCTTAACAGTTTCAGAGGTGAATGTTGGAAGGGGCAGGGACCATGGTAACATCAGCTGTGAATATGCTAGTAGGAAGGTTAAAAGTTAGGACACTACAAATGTAGAAGCCCAGAGGGAACTGTGATGGCAATGGGAGTGCTAGGACACTACAAATGTAGAAGCCCAGAGGGAACTGTGATGGCAATGGGAGTGCCAAGAAGTGGTGAAAACAGGATGATACGTTCTGGCAGAATATGTAAGAATATAAGAATTGGGTTATAGTAAAGCATGTCTATTTCCAACTGTCCATAACCTTATTTTCAAACAAGTACTTACCAATAACGGCAGGGAAAGGGAAAGGAAAAGTACGAGAGAACAAGAGTGCACATGCACTGTTGCTGGGACGCTGAAACTATTCAGGCACAGGGAGCGAGAAGGGGATGCTGTCCTTGTGTCAAATGTCAAATTGCAGGATGGACTGTTCTAAAGTGAGCACATGATCGTGAAAATACAGTAGTCACAATGGAATTAATGCAGAGCTGGTAACACTTTATATGGCTCGAGTTACTACAGAGGGAATAAGACTTGCAAACCAAAACATCATGTCCAAATTTCCAACATGGAAAATATCACTGGCATGGGAAGGAGACATTTCAAACTAGAAAATTTGACCCTCTGCATTGGGAAGTTTCCTTGCATTTTATTGCCGACAATAATGTGGGTGACAGCAAGAATGTTTACCAAATAATGGGGTGGTGGTGGCTGGGGGAAGCACGTCAACCTGGACAATGGAGTGCTGATTGCATGTTTCAATTGTCTTTATATTGCTATAACAAGACCTGAAGATTCCTACAATGATAGTGATTTCCACTGAATGAAGCCGGTGAATATGGAGCTTCAGATCAACAACAGTACTATATTAAGTGAATAATTAAAATACAATGTAGGTGCACTAACCATAATGTATTACTGAATGTAGTTTCATTCACAGTACCAAGAAAGAATTGAGTGAGCATACCATTGATTCTTTTATACAGTTAAGAGTTTATAGTTGTAATGGTAATGGTAACACTGCGCCATTAAAACTTTAAGGGAGCAGATGTCACTGGGATGCAAAGAGGGTAGACAGTGATCAGGAGGAGGTGCAAAGTTAGGGTCTATCCGAGAGGTACCCCTGGGTAAGGGAGGAGCCGATCTTTTACAGAAATGCACCTCATGAATAAGGACACAAGAATCCGAGGAATTAAGAAGTTTTCTTACACAACGTTCGACTGTGTCCAAGTAAACCAAGTGTAAGCCAATGCAGAAAGGCCACCTCTTCCCTAGTGTCGCCAACATATTTAAGGTGACCGTAACTGGTTTTGTAACCGAATTACAAAATTCAGTTTCATGTAGGTCAGTGAAGGTCCCCTTGGCCCAGACATGCACACTACTTCAGAAGCCAGAAGATGAACTAGAAATCCCTCTTGAAGAGTTCAGGAAACATGGAAATGCCTCCTCACCACATCAAGACATCGTTGAAGGGGTTCACTGTAATTATATTAATTTTCTTTATAGAGATGATGACTTACTTTGAAGCAACACAAAAGAAGGATGCAATAAAAGCACTTTAAAAATGTTAGGAATTCATCTTTTCAAAATGAGTGAAACTATTTTTTTCAGATAAGCACTTTGTAATAATATTTAGATTTCAAGGAGTTTGATGGGGTCTTGCAAATGAATTCTGAGCCTGTGAATTCCATGGGTTTGCTGTAGATTGCTCTGATGGGCAATTTAAATATAATTTTTATATAAAAGATTACCTAATATCCCAACAAATGCAAAATTTTTTTTAGATTATATATATATACATATATATACACATATATATATATATATATATATATTACACACATATATATATATATATATATATATTACACATATATATACATATATAAATATACACACACACACATCTCTCTCACACACACACACGGGAGGGGATTTTGCTCCATTCAATCCCAAGCTACTTAAAAATTAAAACCTATTAACAATTGGATAAATAAAACATCAATAAACACACATTTTTATTGTTCGTCTTATAAGACCATTACAGGGGTGCTAGGGCAGTAAGGACACAGGGCTGGAGTTAGGAAGGTTTTTATTGGTCGTCTCAATGATACACCGGCCAGTGGCAGCAATTGAGCAAGTCTGTGAAACTCCAAAAATTCACGTGGAAAAACCTTCATGTCATGACGAATTGAAAAATAAAAAAGGCTAGGGAGGATTTATCTGACAAACCCCACCGAGAAAAATATAATTTCTAAGACGTGCTTTCCATCAAGAGGGAATTCTAACCTACGCAATTAGACAACTTTCTCAACAAAAAATAACACACTTTTGCTGACCGGCCTACGCAAGTGCTGAAGACCTACCCACCCAATTCCCCACCCATGTGCTTGGAATGAGCTGAACCTCTCACCACCACTGACAATCAGAATGTAGGTAATTATCATTCATAATGCAGGTGTCAATAAGAATAATACGGGCATCAATAATAATATAGATGGGTTCGGTTCATAATGGAAACCATAAGGTAATATTCAATGCCATATTGCAAAACACACCAAGGGAGGAGCACCAGTCCTTCAATGTTATCAATGAAAAAATATAAATATGGATATAAAATAACACATCAATGGCAATTATAAAATATAAAATAGCTGATAAATGTGCCCCAGCTATGAGCAAGGGCCAATGTGGCAGAGCAATAAAACTACGGTATCAATAGCATCCACGAGGATGTAAATGGGCATAATAATAATAATCTAGAGTATCATTTACTACATTTACCTGTTTGTCGCGTGGTGATTGTGTTTCTTCTTCCTCCTTAACTCATTTCCCTGAATAGCCTGTAATGATATTGGCCATAACATAACACATGTCATTCACAAATATCCCGAAATGGCATTACGGTATAAATAATATGATTTCTTGTGTATATATGTTTATATATATACGTATATATACATACGTACAATGAAAAAAAGAAAGAAAAGGAACGGCATATCACGGAGATATTAACCTGTAAAAGGAGGTTAGGATATTACATGAAAAATTTTAAGTGCATCGAGATAAAAACAGAATAAGGGATCAATTTCAATACTGGGATCGTACGTAGAATAATATGCAGAATAGGCACATGGTATATGGCTTAAAAGAGTAAGAATGCACATTTCTGAGAGGTCAGCGAAGCCCACCCCAGCTACCCCATCGAACAATGAGATTTTTCTTCCCCTAGCACAGCAATAAAACCTACAATTATCTTGTACAAGGTATATTTCTCACATTAGGCATAATTATAGAAAGAGTAAACTATGTGACATATTTACAGGATCTGATAAAAAAAAAAAAAAAAAAAGCAGCTTAGTTAACAAGAACCCTCTTACAATTATAATAATAGTAGTTATAAGTGACACAAAATCATTGTACATCTTGAAGTATGCAGCAGCTTCATACCATCCTTATGAATAGCATCTCATATCATCGGGGAACATCATGACATCACGAATAAGATATCGCAACATGATACATTTTTTGAGGCCAACAACCCAACACTGAAGTCTTCAAGGCAACAACAAATGGGTCTGAAAAAGACAAATCAACACATTGTTCTCTCAGTTTGTAGTAAGGTCCCTGTAAGAAAAATACAGGTTAACTTGAAACAACTTGGCAGGCTACGGCTCACTTACCCTCCAGGGGACCTACCACGTCGGCTGAACCCCCTTGTCGTCGGAGAGCACACTGGTGTTCCCACAAGATCGTGATGAGTGGCACTGGCCAACTTCCGTACTTGAAATTTCCTGTGCTCTACAGCAACAGCAGCGGCAGCAACTCTTAAACCATGGTCCGTGGAGGGGGAGGGGGAAGGGGGGGTGGGGTGGGTGTTGGTTCAGAGGTTGGGAGTGGCCTTACCAGCCAGTCCGCTAGGTACTTCAGATGCAGCAAGCTACTACTAGTCATATTGCCAATGTGTCACTAACAGTTATAAAAAACTGTCACACTTATTGAGATGAGATAAAGGAAGTCAGACCTGAGTTTTAATGGCTAACATTTTATAACCGCTTCCATTTTCATTGCTATGAAAGCCAAACAGATCTACAATTTGAAACAATTCAGTATTAAGGCTCAGATCTGACAAAACCTGAAAAGAAGAATATGTTAGAGACCAAACTTACCTGTCATCTAGAAGAGAAGTGTCCACTGTTATGACAAATCCATATGTCTTAATATCCCTGATTGAATGTTGGATTATACATGGGCGCCCCCGGACCTCCACCAGGTGGACCTCCTGCTCCTCCCTGAAAAGATACAGCCATTAGAAAATACATAAATATATATTTAAATAAAACATACATTTACATCAAATCATGGGCTGCAATCTTCAAGTTATGCTCTTCTGCCAACTGATGAATTTTCAAACTGCACTAATATGAAAAATTAACCAATTTCACCACATTCTACAGTAGGAAGCCAACAAACTGCAAAGACTGGTAATGTTTCGCTGTCATGTCAACCAACAAGAGCACAATTGATGTTCACAGCCATAGTGTAAAACCTCTACTGGGCACAGCACCACCTTTGCTACAGTTCTGCAGTCTAGCCTTTACACACACCTCATGCAGACACCCAACCATCACAACCTAGAATAGCCAAGTAGTTTAGCCACACTCACCAGGACAATTTGACCATGAGAAATTCTGCAATATTATAGAATTATAGGCACGTGGATTTCAGTCCTGGTGAGGTGTTTTGGAGATGCGTTTGCCTAGGTTATGTTGAAACATAGAATGCATATAAAAAATTATGTAGTATTATATATACATAGGTTTATATAAAAATGTTATATATTTATGTATGTAAATTAGTTTTATTGAGGGCAGCAAGCCTGTGTGTATATACATTATATATATATTATATATATAATATATTAATCTAATATATATTATATATATAATATATAATAATATATATAATTATATATTTAATATATATATATATTTATATAATATATATATTATATATATATATATATATATATATATATATATATATATATATATATATATATATATATATATATATATATATATATATATATATATATTCATATATAGTATAATATACATACAGTACATACATGCTTATAGACACACACACACACACATTTAGGCTTGTACCGAGGTTCCCACAAGTTTGAACTACTGACCCTCATCAGGGAGCAACCCCACAATACTTGCACAACTCCCAGGCACCAATTTACTACTAGATGAACAGAGCCATTAGGTAAAAATAAACATGCCTAACCATTTCTAACACCTGGGAATCAAACCTGGAATCCCCAATTGTCAATCAAGAATGAAGCCAACTGTACAAAGAGACCCTTGTCCACAACCATTAAAAATAGGAGTCACCCACTGTTTCAGCATCATTATAAAAGAATGTCAACATTACTATATAATGCTTCTTGGTATGATGGAACACACCAACTAGCAGTGACTGCCCCTCACTCATGCTGGGAATTTCTTATGCCTTACCTAAAGTGTTTTTGAAAACTTGCCTCGAGTCTCTCTGCCTTCCTGCCACTATCCTTTTCCAACATGTTAGTATTTGTAGCAAAGCAGCAGCACACCAATACAGCCTCCAAGGTCTCATTTACTGCAGACTAGAGGGACACACAGGCAGCAACAATCATACAGGACTTCACCCCAATTCACTATTAGTAGTACAGGAGCATGTACAGATGACCCAAAGATATTGAGAATCATCCGGATGAGGGATCACAACGATGTCATGGAAGGGCAAACGGCACATTATGTGAGGCAACATGTGTGCCGTTGCTTTAGCCCAGCACCTGTATCCAGTACCGAGACCACTGGAGGGGGGGTTGCTACATTCAGGGAATATACAGAAAGAGAAAATACAAAGCAAAGCTCCTTGAAAGAGACTAAGATCAACAATGTCATTACATGTCACATTGGGAAGTATCCACTCAACAATGAAAATTTATAGGCAAGACGACATCTCTGAAGCATCCAGACAATACATAAACAAGGAATTATCAATGACTGCATCTTTTCTATGCACAACCAGATCATTTGAAATATCTTCTGATTAGCAACATGAAAGTCAATAATGACAATAGAATATTTGGACATATCCAAGGAACTGTGTATCAAACACACTAACAACCACCAGCACACTCTCAGATACACCTTACCTTCCTCCAGAGTGGACCACGAAGACTTCCCTCTTACACCACAGCAACTGCTTCAGTCGACATTGATTATATAACACCTTACTTCACGTTACTTCATCTGTCTTGGTGCATATTAATGAAATTCCTGTCACTATCTATCCACTGTCTTCATAGACACTGAAGAAAGTTTTAATAAACCTCCTCCTTCAGCAAATCTCAGACTAAATTAAACTAGTAAAATAAAGTTAAATATTTAATTTATTTCCCCAGGTATATATGATTATTAAAGAGAAAGATTTGTGCTTAAATCAGTCATATTCAATAACATACATCTACAAGAGATTTATTTGATAGATGATATATATATACCTAAAGGGGTACCACCTCTGGTGCAAGTGTAGGGACCCATAGCCCCAAATAAGAAAATAAGGAGAAAAACACTATACATTAATATATATCCTACATGAAGTGTATTTTGTTTCATCCTGGCCTTTCATCTAATAGAAATTGTGTTAGATAATTTGTAGTTTGATAAGTAATCGCCATTATCTTTATTTCTTGATCTTACATTAATATCAAATGTAAGGAACACAATTTTGCTCACGTTATTCAAAGTTAACTTGTATGTGTCCAGTCAGCATTTCACCATGTTTAGACATACTTAAATTTGCATTGTGCATTTTTGCTATCATTCTTATACTTCAATTTACATAATTTTGTTTACTTGAAGCATTTGTTTACAATTATTTATGTTTTGGTTAGATTTTACCTCCCTGCTTAGACCCTGGTGCCTACATTATTGTGTTTGGCAAAGGTTTCTGTTGAGGTAAAAGTGCTAAACTTTTACCATCATTTTACTGGGTTTCCTTGCGTTCCGAGATCACATGTTCCGTGATCCTGCCTGTACATTAGCTATACAAATACTTATGTAAGATACTATACATACATTTGTAAAATACTTCACTCCTAACAGTTACAATGGCACTATTTAGCCAAGTAAGCAAGGCAGGTTTTACCCCAAGATACAAAGCAATTGCCCATATTTTAAGCTATAACTAAATTACAAATTAGTGCCTAACAACTCAAATTTATGCAATATATAAAAAACTTTGCAACATTTTCTCCTCTGGATAGATAAAGCTTTACACATTACAAGATCATATGTTTTCAATAAAAGCCTAAAAGATCTAATCTAATTTAGTAATGCATGTCAGGAGGAAACTAATTTGTAATTAAAAAAAAAAATTGGTCTGCCTGTTAGGTAAAACAGGACTTGCTTAATAGGACAAATAGTGCCAGTCTTGCCAATGAGAATGTCCATATTACAATATATAAATGTGTGTGTGTGTGTGTATATATATTACTATATATTGGGGGTGGCACAAGACAATATGTGAGTATGTTTGAGACCCACGAGGCTCCTCCGAAAGCTATACAACCTTTTTTTTCCAGGCAGAGGATCCCTACAAACATGATCAAAGGTGGTACCCCTTATAAATTTGAGTATATGTATGTGTATATTATATATATATATATATATATATATATATATATATACATTTTTATATAATCTACACACACACACACACAAACATGTATATATATAATGGCATAACGTAACAAGCAGAGTACCACAAGGATCGGTGCTGACACCCATACTACTCCTCCTTTATGTAAACGATATATCTACACAAGTTGAGTTTTAAATGTAGATGTTGGCAGAACATGTGCAACTAATAAGGAGAGTTGAGATAGATGAGGATTCCAAGATTACTAATGCTGCAGAGCTGGAACAAGAAATGGCTACTAGATTTCAACACTAGCAATAGTAAGGTGATGGAAATGAGAACAGACATTAAGAAACCATAATGACATTACCAAAGATGAACTACCTCCCTATAATGACTAGAAATAAAGACTGGGAGTGGACATAATGCCAAATCTAACTTCAGATGCTCATATATAGAATAACGACAGCAGGATACTATACAGTAGCAAAAGTCAGATCATCATTCAGGAAGCTAAATAAGGAAGCATTTAGATTGATTTACACCACCTACGTAACACCAGTTTTAACACTTACACTGCTACAGCCTGGGCTATAAATGGGGGTACAAGCTGAGGCTAGGCAAAAAAATATTTGAGATAAGTGAAAATTAATACTAAATGTTGGCTTCAGCTTTGTGAAAGTTTCATCCCAATATTTTCAGATATGGGTATTAGATCAATTTTTTCAAATGAAAGTTTTGTTGATAAGCACAGCTATTAACTGGAACCGAAAGATAATGCAGTAATAGAGAGATGCAAGCACCTGTCTGATGCACAAAGAAGAAAAATAGTAGTAAAGTGTAGTAGTAGTAAAAAAAACAGTGTCCATAAAGTGGATATGCAGCTAGTGCCTTTATAGCATTGATGAGTAATATATAACAATACCAATAATAGTGATTTGTTATTATTGTAGCTATGTATGTATGTTATGTTACTATGCTCGACCAAATTATGTTATGCTCGATTTTGTTAAAATATCAAAAACTTTTTTTTTGTACTTAAAATAAGTACAAAAAAAATTCTTTTTTTGTTTTGTCTTCGAGGGGCAGGGAAGGGATTTCATCTTTTTTTTTTCTTTTTTGTTGCTTATCTGATTTTGTTGTAACCTATATATACATCCTTTAGAGTGCATACCCGTCCCTAACTACGTGAAGATAAAACAAAATTGGCCAACAAATAAATCAGTCACAACTGATAGAAGCAAACTTCTGAACTTTTGAGTTGGTCTATATTTTCCTTTTCATATAGGGAAATTTTTCATTATAGGGTGTCAGTTTAAAACTATTCTGACGTAGGTGTACATCAATCTAAATGTGCGCACACACAAACAACCGAGTACCTAAACAACGGAAAACAGCGAGTTACTGATAGGTGAGGTCCACGAGTGGCTTGATGTCACTAGTGTCCCCCACAGGGTTCAGTTTCCGACATATGTAAACGATCTCCAAGAGAATAGACTCCCTCTCAATGTTTGCTAATGCAAAAATTATGAGGATTATGACAAAGAAATATAGCACGAGGCTAGAAGATGACCTAGACAAACCAAAGAAATACTCAAACCAATGGCTACTAGAGTTTAACTCAAGTAAATATAACGTAATGAAGTTAGGTAGAGGTAGCAGGTCAGACACAAGGTACCAAATGGGAGACGAAGTCCTCCAAGAAACAGACAGAGAAGGCTCTAGTTGATATCACCCCGGTTATGTCTCCTAAAGCCCACACCAAAAGGATAACATCAGGGGGGGGGGGGGGGGCAAACTCCACTCATAAAATGGCAAATGCAAGGCTGGTTAACATCAGAACTACCTTTAGAAATTTCTGTAAGGATATATTTAGAACCTTGTATCCCACATGTCACACCAATCCTAGCATAAGCAGCTCCATTATTAGATAGATTAGACCAATTAGATAAAGACAGCTATTATCTAATCGATCAATTATATTTAAATAAATCGAATTGACACAGGTGATACATGCACAAGGGAACACAGGTGGAAACCGAGTACCCAGATGAGCTGTAGGGTCGTAACAATTTTTCTAGTGTCAATAGTTAACAAATGGAATGCATTAGGCAGTGATGTGGTGGGGAGACACTCCAGTTTCAAATGTGGATATTACTGAGCGCAATAGGCTCAGGAGTCTATACACCAGTTGAAGGTTGAGAGGTGGGATCAAAGACCTGAAGCTGAAACCCTGCAACCTCAATTAGGCAAGTACAATTAGCTGAATACACACACGAGTGAGGTGGTGGTGAAAGCCATCAAGTATTTTGAAACCATCACATGCCAGAGTACTGGGAAGATAGGACACCTTAAGCACAGCTCTCATCCTGTAATTACACACACACACACACCCAATCACCCACAGATGTGTTGTATAGCAGTTGTCTAAATCCTAGATACCTTTTTATTGCTACTTCACCAGTAACATCAGGTGAAAGAAACCCTGCTCATATGTTTCTGCTATGACCAGGAATAGAACCCGGACCCTTAGGACTACGACCCCAGAACATTATCCCCTCAGCAGCAAGGACCTGCTTGTGTGGAATTGTATATATGCACGCGTGTATCCATGTATATGCATAATTTATTTTTATTGTTTTTATTTTTTTTTGCTATTTACTATTTTTCAATGCAGGATTGAGCTGCTAGCTCTTAGGCACTACCTTTCTGTTAGTTGTCCAATGTACCGACTTCTGACCTAATTCTTTATCACATCCATTATGCATTTCTCTCTCACACACACATTACACTCATGAAGGGCCAATGCTACACTTTCTAACATCAGAATTGCTTTTAAATACTGGACATGGATGGTGAAATACTAAAGAAAATGTTCATGACTTTTGTTAGACCAAAGCTGGAATATGCAGCGGTTGTATGATGCCCATATCTTAAGAAGCACAACTGGAAAAGGTGCAATGACATGAGAAAATGGCTCCCAAAACTAAAGGGCATGAGCTACAAGGAGAAAGAGGCATTAAATTTACCATAATCAGATGACAGAAGAAAAAGA